GTATACACAGAGCGCAGATGTGCACACATGCACAATACGTAATCATACAATATAACAATTCCATCTGTGTGCTGACGCCAGGGAGACTTTGGGAGGGCTTTTTTTTTTCCCCCCAAACAGAACACCGAAGAGTTAGTGATTGAATGAGAGTAAAGACATCTAGGTCAGACTGGTAGGGATGACAGTGAAGAAATACGTGATGAAGAATTTTACCATCTTTGCCACCTATTACTTCCCTGTGAGCTTTAAAGAGCAAAAACAGCCTTGTGTGGGAGTCAAGCCTGGAGCCAAAGGCAGAGCCGATTTTCTCCCCGTCTCTCTTTATGTCTCTCTCCCTGTGCTTTTCTCTCTTTCTCTCTCTCTCTCTCCCTCTGTTTCTTTGTGTGTCTCTCTCTCTGCCTTGCTCTCTCGTTCCTCCATGCCCTTTATTAATCATCCTTGGTTAGTGGGGCAGAGAGCATGGTGTTAGGAGCTCTGGGGAGTGTAGAGCCATGAAATACACACACACCTCTATGTGCACATACGCTAATAGGTAGTGGACTCATAAATCTGTTTTGGTTTTTTTTTTCATCTTTCATCTCTTGTTTACTTATAAAAGACATTTTTAAAAAAAAAATACATTCATTATTATTATTGTTATTTTTATTTTTTAAACACTGTCGGAGACTCCTCGCATGTACACAAACACACTGCAAGCACGCATGTGCACACGTACAGCTGATCTTCAGGGATTCTGGCCTGAGGTGCTGGGACTCAGCTGCTGCTGCTGATGTAACCTTTTTGAACAGTCTCTGTTGTTGTTTAGACATTCCAGCTCCAGCATACAGTCAAACTAAGGCCATCTCCCTCTAACATAAAGACACAAAACTGTCCCACCAGTGCCACTAAAACCTCCATCACTCCTTGGGCCCGTAGGGTGGGTCAGAAGCAGGAGGAAGCATCACCAACTCATCAAAGCTAATAAAACAGAGAGCCAGCATCCTTAAAGAGCTAACTGGGGGGAGGATGATGGGACGATGGAATACAGCGCAGCTCCCCATCCCAGCTACTGTGGCCAATGGGCAGCACAGTAGGCTGAATAATGGGGGGGATGTAATTAGGGCCTATTTCTATGCATGTAAGTGCACTTAGCTAAGAAGGCTCCAACTGGGCTACATGCCATTATTACCATTATCACTATTCGATCTCCCTGAGAAAGTGGTGAGAAAATTGGCCAATTAGTTGTTATGGGACAGTAGGAGGTTTAAAGTGGAAGTCTGGGTTCTCCTTTAGGAAGTGCAGATGGCTGTAGTTGTGTGTGGAGACAGTTAAACTCAATTTAGTCACTTTTTTTGGTGCTATTTTGCAATGAACAATCTATTTTAATTCATTTGCCACAATGAAAGAGACAAATGTGCAGACTGTGCTGTGCTGCCTGCTAGTAACAAGTGCCTCTGCTGAGCTCCACATTATTTGGTGTATGTCATCATGAGGGCTGTTGTGTTTACAGGATGCCACATATTTTTTAAAAAACAAAACAAAAAAAAACGCTCATCTTACAAACAGAGCTCAGGTGTCACAGCAGCAGTAGCGATGGGAAACAGAAAAGAAAGGGGACGCACCTGGTTTGACGGTCTTCAAGCGAATCGGCTCCCGAAAGTGGCGGATGACAGCCAGAGTGTCGCGGTTTGTAAGTCCACTGACGGGCGTCCCGTTCACCTCCAGCAGCACGTCCCCGTAGTAGGGCAGCTTCCCGACGTGGCACACCAGCACGTCCAGTTTCATCTGGCCCAGGTAGGGGAACTGTCCCAGCTCTGCGCCCCCCAGGACCTCCACCACGGAGCCAAAGTCCCCCAGGTTCCCCCATGACACGGCGCACTCCACCACTTTACTGGACCAGTGTTTCTTCTTCTTCAGCGTCCTGGACATGGTTACCCTCCTTCTTTTTTTTTTCCTGTAAAGAACTAACGATCTAACTGGTAGGAGTCGCCTCGGTTTGCTGTTGTTAAATAAGCGCGAAGTGACGCGGCCTAATAAACCCTCCTGAGTTATTCTCCCGATCCGCTGGGAATTTCATCTTCTTGACATTTATGAGGCTGATTTTCAACCCGTGAATCCGCCGCCGAGCTCCGTCATCCCACGGGTTAATGCTCCGGTGTGCGCACAGTTGCCTTGGTTGCAATATATTCCAAGCACTCCTTGTGCGTAAAAAACAGGAGAGTTGATAGCGGCGAGATGGTGAAAAAAAAAAAAAGAAAGAGAGGAGACAATCAAGGTTTTATGCTCTCCATCGCCACTCTGGAGCCATATACGCGTTTTGCTTCGTCTCTGGAAGATCCCTCTTCATGCGAGTAGTCAAAACTAAAGTGTAAACAGAATATTTTTCACTCACTCGGATCGTGGAGTGTCTGTCGCTGAAAATGTAGTGCGTCAATGAGAAATCCCTCGTACCTGTGGGCAGGCTGAAAATAGACGGGCGGCAGCGTTCACCGGGTAGGCGGTTTGTGCAGTTGAGATCCAGCCCATAATGACTGACTTGGGAGACATCTGCTAGCGTTTGTCTGCTACAGGTTTGAACACACCTGGTACCGCCAAGAGAGATGTTGCCAAACCCCGGAACGCCCCTTTTTACGCTCAGCAACAGCGGTGTTCTCCAGACGCTCATGCTGGCTCCATCCTCCGGTGTTTTGTGGTACTAAATATATATTTATATATATATATAAAACAAGAAAAACAAAAACAAAAAAACACTATAAAAGTCCAAAAATGTTCACTGTAACTTAATGCCATCTTAGGCCTTGTCTAAAATAAATAATGCACATGTCAATCCGCATTTTTCTTTTTACGCATTTAAGATACTCATCCTGTATATTTGTATAATTTGTGTAACACACAAGGCAATCTAAAAATACACGGAGCATGTAATCCTAATATTAAGCTTGCAAAACAAATTACACCTAATTAGGACCCTACATTTGCAACGAGTGAGGTGTTCTTTTGGAGGAAATTCCAGGTGACCTTAATGAAATGTATACACAGCGCCACCTACTGGTGCAATTACAGTACTTCAAACAATTGACTGCATCGCTTCATCTCCCCTCCTCCCCAGGTCTATAATTTACACTTGCATACCTTCTTCTTTCCATCATGCTTGACTGCAGCCAGCTGCTTCTATCCGTGCATTATCTACTGGATAATGATCAGATTGATTTAATTACCACGAGACTTTCATCTACAGCTTTTTCCCAATTGTTTGTGGAGCAACTGTTGACAGTGGCCTTTATTTTTTTTCAGCATAATTCTGTGTTCATGCATAAATTACAGGGTATCTGCAGGTCTTGAATGCAGAATTTGCTCACCTCAAAACAGGCTTTACAAGGTATTAAAACGTCTTGAATTTTAATGACAAAGGTCTTGAGTGTTTTTTTTCTTCTCTCACCTGCTGTAGACAGTGACATAACCTTTTTCAATTATGGGTCTAAAACATTCAGTCCATATGACTCATAAGAAAGAACTTGAATCCTGTTGAAATCACTGTTCTTTTCAAGTGATCTATTAATTTTCTGCTATAAAACTGGGCCCAGGTAACATTAATTGGTTATTTTACTTTAACACATTGTTGGGAAATACTGACAAAAATCTGTACATGTACTTGCATGGTTATGAAAATGGCATTAAGTTGCATTCTATGTATTAAAATGTATTAAATTATTATCATATCATCATACAAATCTATTTATCTGGTGCTTTTTTATTCCAGGGAAAACTGGAGTCCCACCTACATGCAAAGCCTACACATTTCACGGCCTCGGAGCACAGGTTTTAAATGAGCTCATACATTTACATATGTGTACTGTTGTCAAGCTCTGCATGAGACAGAATGCCTCCTTTGCCTTTAAATGTTGGCTTCCAGGCCAGATCTTGATTCTAACAAAAATCCAAGATGTTGTCAAACTCATGTGGCATTTTATCGCAGCTTCCGAAGTTCATTCAAATTTGTACACGTCAGTTTGTCTTCAAGGATAATTAGTCGTGTTTCACAGCACGCTACAAATGCCGCACAACTTGCTTTTGCCAAAACTCCCAACACAGACGGATGGATTCTGACAAATTCAGATGCGTTGACTCACAGGACAGTCATATGTCAGCAGAGTTCATTAACTTTAAAAACCGGGAAGCAGGCCACACTCCTTCTGTGGTACTTTCGAAGCTGCTTCTGTTCTCTGGGCTCCATCCATTAGAGGTCTGTGTTTAAATACAGAGTTGCCACCCTGGACATTGTGCTGAATAATTCATTAGCTTGTAGGGGATGATTAACAATGCCTGTGTCATGTCTTTGATGGGGACCAGGGAGTGCAGCAGAGAGCCAAACATTTTAAAAAGGCTGCAGCGCTGTCAGACCGAACATGTATCCAGTGTTTCCCTGTGGATTCTTCTGGATTTATGTAGGAGGGACTTAAAAATGAGGTCTTTTTCTTGACGTCAAGACTGATGATGGACTAACAGTTTTTTAAGGCCCATATTAGCTGGCTTTGTGTTGGCTTGACATGACTAAATCCAGATTATGGATGGCTTGGCCTTTTAAATCGTTCCATGGTGTGCCCAGAAATCATGTTGTTGCTAAGACTGCTGTGATGTAATTATTTGTAACCCAAATCAAATAGCGCAAGCACATATTCAGATTTTTCTCTCTGCAGACCTGCTGTCAGAGTAAAGACGGGCACCATCACAGACACCTGAAACAGCTGGTTAAAATGACCTACTTTGATAAAGATTTTGACCATTTGTAAAGCAAAAAAGGAAAACATTTGCTTGTCACAGCTAGAAAGATGTGAGCAGCATCTGTCCTTCTGTACTACATGTTGTTAATTAAATATCTTTAGAGATTTAATTTTCTGATCGGAAAAACCAAACACTCTGAAGATGTCGCTTTGATACTTTATAGATAAAACGGCAATAGCTTAATCGAAAAGAAAAAATTCTACTCTGAGTGTCGAGGAAGACATTCAAGATTCAAAACAAATGATCGGAATTCACGTTTAATGTTCGAGTAATGACTATGTAACAAAAAGGCTCTTTAGACATGCTTTACAGAATGTACAGGTAAACAAGGTCCAAAATACAATTGAAAATTAAAAAAAAAAAAAAAGCAGAACTTCAACAATACAAAAAAAAAGCAGCATTGGATATTGCCAGAGCAGTGACTGCTAAACTTTGGTATAAAGTCATAAAGGACGCTTCAGACAATAAAACGAAACAAATACACATTATGCTAGGCTGTGTGGGTAAAAAAAAAAAGTATTGAACACTGAATCAATGTATGCCCCCCGGACATGAAGCGGCATTAGAATGACTTATCACTGCAAGTTTTCATTTAAATTTTTGTGTCGTTCAAGAAGGGCATGAAATTGACTTTGGCAAACAGTCAGAAAACATCAAGAAACAACAAGGATCTGCTACGAATGAAATATGGAGCACGTCAGGCAAGAACCAGCAAAGTTATGCTTAGGCTTTAGTGTTGTCTTAGAAAACAGTACTGATCACCTTAGAGGCTGATATCAGTTTCACAGGAATAGGTGTGGAATGTGCTGATTTGGAAATGAAGGGGCAAACACTGGCATCTACATATGAAAACAAATTTGAACCAAGAGAGAGCGCAGGAACAACGTACAGGAGGTGCAGCTGTATGGATACCATTTGTTACCTAATGCAGTTTTGAGTAATTACTGATAACACAGTAACAATAACTTGGCTGGCCGTGTTACCCTTAGCGACACTGCATGGAAAACATTACATCAAGCTGCATCACACAAACCGACTGCAGATTAACTTTTCAGCATTATCAATTTTTTTCTTGAGGCTGAACTCGGTACCCTTGAACAGTCTGTACCATTACAACATGTGAAATCTTTCTTGGTCAGCAATTCGAGAACAGAATGTAGCAGTAATGATCGTCACCGTGAAAGAAATGACAATAACAAAAACAAACTTTCAGAATATGGAAGGCAATCTGTTGTCACACATTATAGCTACAAAACTGACAATGATATACGCTCAGGTACCAGTTTATTAGGCAGACTTAGCTGAAATTAATGAGGGTTATAATGTTCAGTTTTTGTTGAAGCTGTGTTGATTCACCCGTATAATCATTATGGAGAAGGCAGTGTGAGGTGCTGCTGAAATGTTCTGCATTATACAGAGCGCTGTTTCTGCACAGAGTGATATAAATTGGGAGGAAAAAAAAATAATGGAAACTTATGTCAGTGTAACTACATCCTCCACAATGACAATAAAGTTTAATCCACCTCTCCAAAGCTGTTTAAACAACAGCCGAACATAGCAGGATTAGCTATTAGCAGACTGGCTTCACTGGCTGCATCCATTTAAGTAGCTGTATCTAATATACTGGCAGCTAAGGGTGATTTTCTAAATGTACTGAGCAGATGCAGTACAAGTGTCACAAACAAAGCCAATCACATTTGAGCAACTCTGAAGTGCAATACTCGAGAGGATCAAACAGGTCCATGCAACATGAGAGGCATTATCAATTTTAAACCTCAAAGCAGTGATATAGCTGACATTTGGAAACAGAGCTGTTTGCTGAAGCCAGCTGCTGTTTGATGACTGTTTTCGAAGGAAATAACACCCAATTATTGTGAAAATGGAAATCTTTTTACCTGAACCAACATGTAAAAAATTGTGGATCACAAAGGGACAATGGAGGCTTAAAACAAATAAGCTTAATGTTTTTAAACTTACTGCAGTCTCAAACCTCTCTTCAAATTGACAAGTAGGACATGGAATTTAATAGATAACTAGCATTATGTACACATACATACATGTAGAAAATAATAAAATACATTCTCATTTTTCACAGTCCCAAGTGAAAACCTAGGCTTAATTAATTATATTTGCGGAAGGATCGTGTACTTTTTGAGAAAAAACTGTGACAATAAATCCTCATGATGTAAAACGGCATGCACACTGCATAATAAAACTTGCCACCATTAAATAAGTGCCTGTAACATATGATAAAAGGGAACAAAATCAGTGCATACTGTATAAAAATAATGTCACCTGATCAAGGTTGCTGAGAATGCTTGTTCAAAAAGGCCATCCGTTAGACAACCATCATAAAGTAGCCAGCAAAACTGTGATTGTCTCATGTGCAAAACAACTACGCTTTCTCCCCAAACTGATCACTATGAAGACATAAAATTATGGAATTAACAACTGCGTTTGATATAGGGCAAAAACAAGATCAGATAAAGATAATACAGGATATATTCATATATATTCATAACATACACCACATTTTGGTGTCACTGTCTCTGGGATTTGCATAACAGGATACCATAGCATAGTTTTGAGTCAAGTCAGGATGTCTATAGGAATGAGGGAGGTTATGCCTTCAAGGGTGTTTCTAATATCAACCAAAAACTGCTGGTCAGGGAACTACAACTGTCCCCTGTTTAACCCCCCTTTCCTCCCCACTTGGAAAGAGGTGCTAAGTGATTTTCTCTCAAGTCCTGTAGGCTGCTCCACTGGGTGTCTGTACCAGCAACGATGACACGAAACCGCCAGCATGACGTCAACTGGCACAATACTTCAGTCCCACAGCAGTGGGGACAGAGCAGAGAGCTTGTGAAGATTCAACCGTGTCTTGGTGTTCTCTCATGGCAGCAACTGACATGGCTCTTTAAAGCATACATTCATAGTTTTCTCGAGTATGAGAACAAAGAAGAGTGGAGGATGTGGGAGATAGAGGTCCTCCAGAGGTGGAGGTGTCAAGGAGGAGGTCACTTTAATCACCGGTCCATTTAGCCAGTCTGCACAGCAGTCTTACCCCAGTGGAGAATGTTACCATGTCCTCTTGAGTGAAAGGGGAATGTAAACATACAAGAGAGCATCTTTGGCAGAATGTGAGGAGTCTCTTTGGAGGTAGTGGGTGAAGGAGGTGACAGTGGGAATGGGGGGGATGCAGCAACAACGAGTCAGAGGCAGAAGTGGTTGGAGTGTAAAGACCTATGTGGGAGCAGGGTGCTCCTGAAGGTTAGTCCTATTAGATGCACAGCTGTGGTCCTGGGTGCACTGGCTGGGGAAACAGTCCACCTCTGTTTCACTCTTTTCCGTTGCCACATCTGCAGCAGAAGTCAGAGGAGCTGTCCTGTGAACAGTCACTGAGAACTGGGGTTCTCCTGATTGGGATTTTGAGGCTGCATCTTCCCCTTCTCTCCAGAAAGACCTGCAAAGGGAATCTGCAATGACAGTTTAAAAACAACATTTAGATCTCTACACATTATCTTCAGCTTTATGGCTTCAGCACAATGGAAAATCTTTCATCTGCAGAATGCAGCCTTAGTGTTCATATTGTATGTAAAGGCAGGATAAGAGCAAGGTAGCCTCTGCACGATTTATAATGGCCACAAGAACAGGAAAATGTTTACAGAACTCAACAGGATGTTTTAGGAGTTGCTGGAGAGTTAAAATTCAAAGCATTCTCCAAAAACACCTCGGTGGACATGAGAGTGTGTACACGGACTTCTGTTTTCAAGTCTCACCATTATAGTGCTCCGGGGGAGTGTGGCTGCTGAGCCTTTTGTCGTGTGAGGTGAGAAAGACCGAAGAGTCCTGGTTGCTAATGAGGCTCTCCAGTGCCGTGTCCTTCTGCTGGGCATGCTCACTGAGGCTCTCCTTCAGGCCTGGTAGAGCCTTGTCCAGTGGATCATCATCTCCCAGATAGGCATAAGGGCAATATTCCCGCGTGCGAGAGTAGATGTTGGCATTGTCGTAGCAGTCAGAGCAGATGACCAGTGGACCTGCACTCCCTGGCAAGAAAGAACAGGCGTGTTTTTAAGTGTTGCTTTGCATGTGGTTGTTGTTGCTTTTTTTGTTTGTCTTTTTTAGAGATTTGGGAAATGTAATGTACGTTTATTATTTTAATTCCCTTCCCTGATGTACTGTACATGAACATTTTAGATGCTGGTGAAATTATTTGCCTTTTATGTCTTTTATTTGTTTTGCTAAGGTACAATTTGCAATAATATTAAAATGAAATGAAAATATACATAATAAAGTTATAGTTATATATTTTTGAAAGGCACAGATATTGCAGCTACAAAACCCTTGAAATTAACAATAAATGTGGTGGAGAGTGTTCTGACATACTGCATCTCCACATGGTACTCCAGCTGCAGTATGTCAGACAGAAAAGCCCTGCAGAGGATAGTTAGAGAAGCTGAGAGGGTCATCAGAATTTCCCTCACCTCTGTTCAAGAACTTTTCTAGAGCCGCTGCAGGAACAGGGCACTGAACATTGTCAGGGAGTCCTCACACCCTCTCCATAAACTGCTTAAACTGCTACCATCAGGCAAACGTTTCCGGAGCATTAAAGGAAGAACGTCCAGACTGATCAACAGCTTCATTCCACAAGCTGTCAGAATGCTGAACTGCTGATCCAGATATGCAAACACTTCTTTATTTAAATTGCTAGTTATTAGATCCTAAAGAAACGCTCTCTCATGAAGGAAATGAAATGAAATGAAATAAATGAAAAAAAAACATCTTGCCTGTACTAATATGTACAGCAAAATGACAATAAACTTGATTTGATTTTTGATTGATTTGATAAAATCCTGGAAAAACAAGGACCACAGAAAAGAAAAAAAAAAAGTAAATCACACAACCACTTGTGTGGGCATTACACCAACCTGTGGAAACTCCAGTGACTCCCTCACGAGGCTCACCAGGGTGGAAGCTGCTACGGCCAGTGAACAGAGAGCCAACCCTGCAGTGCAGCATGCCATTCCCTTCGGTTTCCACCTCACTGCCCGTGTCTCCATAACACACACCTGGGACAAACATTATAATTAGTCACTGTCTCCTTTCAACAGGGATCTGAGCCGAATCACAAAAGCAGAAACACAAACCTCATGGGCACGGGAAAGTCTCAAACCTTTAAACACCAAAACGCAGTCAAAAAGATGTATTGTATTCAAAAGATATTTAAAATGTAATGTTTTTGTTTCTTTGTCATATCAGCAGTGATTCATACAGAAGACAGGAGAGGTGGCAACGTATCTTTCTACGTTTGATTTCTTGTCGTCCTGTAATCTTTGTGATGTCAACATCATAAGCTTTGCTTTCTTGTGATCACAATGTTGACAAATTCCCAACCCATTAGATAAAAACTGGATAAAGTATTTGATGGGCAATATTTTTTTCTATAATCAGCAGATAAAAACTAAACTAAATAACTATCAGATAGTAGTTTATATTTAATCAAAATTATCTACATTGCAAACAAATCACTGACTGTAACAGGAACACAATCATGACCTTTTCTTAAAATATTGGATTATAGTGCCCTAAGTAAAATTTATTTTACTGAAAGTTGAAAAGACAATAAAAGGCACAGTACAAATCCTAGTATGAACACTGAAGGGATACTACAGGAACTTCTCTCTTGTAGTTTTCTCTTGATGTATAATATGTACAGTCATAACAGCATAAAACAATGTACATGTGCAAAGGATAGGTGAATTACTGCAAGAGTCTTGAGTGCTCATCTCAGATAAGGGTCCTTGGTACACCGAGATTATGACATAATTATCTTGTGGTTATGATAAGTCATTGCTTGTGATACAGACACACAAAATGGTTATTCCTGATCACGAAAAAATACAGATGACACATAACCAAGCATAACATTATCTGTCGACACAAAAGGTTTCTTACAGAGGAAAACATAGCAAAATTTAGTATATCTACAAACAGAAGATTACCCACCATCTGTGCCCTTATGAACGTATCCATTGGAGAGAGGAGGCATGAGCTGTTGGTGACTGCCAGCCTCAGAATTACTATAGCCTTCCTGAGGCTCTGACAATGTACCCTGAGAGGACAGGTAACTGGGGATATCTGCTGGCAGATTCATCTCATCTGTAACAGAGACATATTCCGTCACACTGTTTTGAGTTCTCCGTATCATCCTCACAAGTATTCATAGACACACTGCTCAGTTTGCAAACTGCCATCCTGACTGGAAAAGGCTTTAAATAAGGAACATTTATTTTATATGACAAACAACTAACCTGTGTTGGTGATACTGTAGTCCTCACTTTTCCTACGCATGTGATAGATGACAATGACCCAGACCAGCGAGGTTCCAACCACACAGCACACCACCACAATCACCACGATGCCCACAGTAGTCCAGCCATCCTGGTCGTACCCTGTGCCGGTATCACAGTTTGGTGACGGTGAAACGCTCAGGTAGATGTGGCCACGCTCAGTACCCAGAGTATTAGACATGATGCAGGTGTATTTCCCAGCATCAGCGGGACCAGCATCAACTATGATGAGGAGTTGGTTGGCTGCAGCAAAAAAGTGGCGCTCAGTTAGTACCAAAGGCCCGTCGTCTTTAGTCCAGTTAAGACGTGGAGCAGGGCTGCCTCCAGCTATACACTGAAGCACAGCAGTTTCACCACGGGCCACTGTTCTGTCTTCAAGTGGTCGCATGAAGGATGGAGTTTCTGGAAAAGAAGAGGGTTTATTGATTTTGGATGTAATGAGGATTATTCATTGTCATTTATGTCATGACTTCATTTACTGAATCTCTTATTAGTTACCAGTGAATGCAACTTAATTGGAATCGCACATGCACACTCAATAACAAATTTGACTGAACAGTTGAGTCACAGATGCTCCAGCTAGTCGGGTTAAAATATTCTACATGGCCACGGTATAATAAGGTTTGCTTTTACATCGTCATTAAAATTGGCAAGGTGGCAGCGCATAAACGAGAGCTTGTGATGAGTGACAGACATAAATGAGCAGCCAATTTGAGCAGTGACTCAGCTGAAATGACCCAGTAGAGGAAAAAACAAAATCAAATCTTCACTGCTAATCAGGTGGGTGACTCACCCAGGACAGTCAGTGTAGCATTTGCCGACAGGCTGCCAGCTGCATTCTGAGCTGTGCAGCTGTACACTCCCATGTCTTCTGTCTTCACGTTAGCAATGAAAAAAATGTCATCATCCGGCATCACATGCATCCTGCGCTCCCGGGCAGCAGGGAAGTCAGTGCCTCCATCCTTTTGCCAAGCAATCTGTGGTGATGGATGGCCTTCAGCAGCACACTCCAGTCTGGCCATGGTCCCAGTCCGGATTGTGAGATCCATGGGAGTCTTAAGAAAGGAAGGCAGCTCTGAAAGAGAAAGGACAGGAAGTCCAGAGTAGGACACAGTAGAAGAGACACATGTATATGAAACAGGGATCAAACAAAAGCAGCAAATACATTTTAAGGTTATTTTTGAAAATTACTCATTTGCTTAGTAACTATATTAAAGAAAAATTTCTTCTAGATGATAAAATATGATAATTCTGCAATATTACACTGGTCAAACCAGCACCCTAAAGTCTAAAGAAGGCAAAGGATAGCAAACAACAGCCACTGTTAATCATTTATCATGTTTTTTGAAAAGAACAATATATCCTTACCATTAACTGTAAGCTTGGCCCTGTTGGAGTAGTTGGAGCCAAAGTGATTGGAGACTACACACTGGTAACGGCCCTCATCAGTGAAGTTGACATTGAGGAGATGAAGCACAGTGGTATAGATCAGCTCTCCCTCCTGATACCGGGCGTAGTTTTGCACTTCTGCATCATACAGCACCTCTCCGTCCTTTCGCCACGCTGTGGTCATTGGTGAATCACTGCTGCTGGACGCGATGCAGCTGAGCGTCACATTGTTTCCCCGCAGAGCCACAGACGTCTCTGGATGTGTTGTGATCTGAGGCTTTGGGAAATCATCTGTGCAGGAGCAGGACAGAGTGTGAAACTCTGTGTTCTTTCAAGTGAGAAAATACCTGTAGATCTCTTAATAAAAATGTAACAGATTTCCAAATTCTTGCAGACTATTTACACGATGACTTATTAAGTTTAAGTGTATAAAACCAGTAAATACAAAAAAAGAAAAAGAAAAAAGGAAAAAAAAAAGAGTATAAATGAAGACTAATCCCTGGCTTATGCCAACAAACATTTTCCACTCTATCTATAATAGACAAGACTGGGATCAATTAAAGGAGAGAAAGAGAACAAAACTGACCACAAACAAACTCTTCCGGGCTGATGGAGAGAACATTGCGACCAAGGAGATTGGCAGGATGGGCACAGCTAGCAGAGACAGACTGCTGGAATTGGCTGTCTGTCAGCCAAGGACCCAACCATTGCATATGACAGTCACACAGCAGGCTACTCGTGTTCAGGACACTGAGAACAAAAAGGTAATTCAGGAAGCGTGAGATGAGTCATTGTAAATCTAGATGGAATCCTCAAACCAATGTGAAATTAGAATGAATATTAATTTGGGATTTCAATGACTCATCCATGAACACTTCGAATGGTGATAATGATATTTAATCTAAGCACAAACTTGCATGCACCACATCATTTTAAGAGGCTTGTTATCGTCTTTACTCATATCTGACAACGTAAGAGTAAGTACAGTCAAAGAGCAAAAAGCGAGAGTAGCTGTGTTTTATGATACATAATAAAAATGCAAGCAGAGCTCTGGTGGCGCTTACAATACTACAATGTGAGATATAACTTCCATAAATCTATACTACTCTGAACCACAATAAGAAATCTGTTTCAGTAAACCTTTAAATCTGTTTATAAACCATTTCCGTCAACCAGAGGTAGTAGACCACTGCAACCAAAGAATAGATGGAAAAGCAAACTTTAAAAGAATCTAAACGACGGCATGAAATTGGATTAATTGTTATAAAAACACCTCCACAACTATGTTTTAATACAGTTTGTCCCAAAATACACTTCAGTTATAAGGGTGTAGTCGTTATGCTTTCCTAAGTTATCGGGGAAAGCCACTTTATCCATTCGCCAAGCAAATAGTGTTATATTCTATTAAGGGGCAGACTAATTTCTAACAAGAGGATATGACTACTGTTGTGATACATTTTCTGCAGCAGCTGGGGCATTTAGTCGGCCACTGCTTGAGAAACACTCCTAAGATGGGCTGATCAAAACCTCAAAAAGACAAGAGGCCTAACATTTTAACTGCTGTTTCAGACAGCTGTTCTGACTAAGTGGATGCTGCTGCCACTCACAAGCTGACTCAGAAGACTTTGCTTGGAAAACTAAGACTAAAAAAATGTATGGCTTCAGCGCAACAAGCTAATAACTTATCAATTACATATATTTTAATGTCATTACCAAAAAGTGACTCAAAATACCAACAACTGATCAATAACTTCAAGCTGGTTACAGTTTTCCAACAATATAATTCCAGTTTTAAATGCAAATCATGTCCCTTAATTGCAGTGTTCCCTAATCATTGTAATCCAACAACAAATCTGCCAAAGAAATAACATTCACAAGAAAAAGATGGTTTTCATGTGGGCTTATCAGAGCTGTAAGATTAATTTAGCGTCTACTCACAATACTTTGAGCTTCATGTGGGACAACGCCTCAGGGTGTATCGACATGATGCCATTCTTGCTGAGGTCCCTACAGAAGGGACAGAAATATGGATTAGACCCACCCATGATGTGATTTGATCAAAATGGAATCTAGTTTCACAAGCATGGGGCAACAACAGCACAGTGGTAATAAAAGTCTTCTGCTATCTTTAATCATTCAACAATAAAAAACAGATCTTACAGAGGCACAAATATGACCGTGCAGCGGTTTTACTCACAGGTGCTCCAGCTCCTCCAGGCCATCAAATGCTTTTTTAGTGATTGATTTGATTTTGTTTCGCTGCAGGATTCTGGAAAATAAAAATAAAAAACATTGGCAATTTAGCCTTTTACAACAGCTACGAAAACAAAACCTGCTCCTTTGGTCATATTTTACTCCATGCTGAAACCTCTGTGTCACCAGCTTTTGTGAACACAAAATAAAAAAGGACTCTCCAGCCTTTCAGTGACTTGAGGAGCAAACTAACAGTTAAATGAAACCTGCACAATTGAAACAGATCTACAGTACACTAAATGTTATATTATCATGTAGCATTTTTCACTGAAAATGTAGTACACAGCCAAATGTCTGAAGCATCAATACATAATTTAAGATGCACTGACAGTGTTTTTACAAATGCAAGGCAAATTAAATCTATCATTATTTATATCAATCTACTCCTCTGTACAATCTGAGTGTCCTCACAGTGTGTTCAGCTTCTTCATTCCATCAAATACACCTATGGAGTCCTCGATGGCCCAGGAGATTTCATTATTGCGGATATCTCTGAAATACAAAGAGACTCATATTAGATATTAAACACACTATAAAGACTGAACATCTAAGGACTTCTCGTGCAAAAAACACAGAGAGGGCACATTATCTCCACTGTGGCTGCCTGTAGCAGTGACTTTTATTGAAGAGACTAATAATTTGAGATACCATACTTCCACACTGTACCACAGTTTGCTGCCACTGCTGTTCTGATGAGAGGAAATAATTGGCTCTGTTTAGCGCTGAGACAGTTCATGGGTCCACTGGAAACCCAGAGAGGCCTTGTGTTTACAGAATGGGTCATGGGCTCTTTTGTTCCTCTTTCCTCATGCCTGGCCACCTCTGAAAGAGATTCAGCACTCTCCAATTCCCCTCTCCCATGAAAGCTCTCAGGATGGTCAACATCCCAAGTATGTCCCTTTTCATGTTGCAGCTCAGCTGCTTAAACAGAACTCTGTGCAGCAAATAATGAGTTCACAACTTCCTCAACACTTTGTATCCCTCCACTTTTCTCACTTATTTTAACAGTTAACTCCTATTAACTTCTTCAGATCTGAGAAGTGAAGATTAGAAGTGAAACATTTTCAAGAACCTACAAGAGAAATCCAGTTGCTTTTTATTAGGATCACCATGATCCGACTGACACCTTGCCAGGCTCTCAAAATACAAATATGCTGGCCTGTCCACTGGGTAAGCATACATGCACTGTATATTTTTTACATTTCAACTGATTTAAAATCATCCCACAGTAAATTGCAAGACAGAAAAGAAAAACCAGAAGAACAGATTTCTATGGAAAAACATATTGGGTGGTTTGATCTAAAACTAAACAGACTACTAAGGACAACCAGGATTAGCACGCAACAACTACTTTGGATTAACGTGGGAAATGTTTTCAAAACAGGACTAGAACTACACACGAAGAATGAAGCAAATACAGACCTACTGTAATCAGCAGCCTTCATGAGAATGCACAGAGCCAAGAACAAGCCAGGACTTGGTTATATTTTACCGAGTTTCATTACACTGCTTGGATCAAACAGGCAACACATATTTTACACAGATTTCTTTGATGCATAGCACTTACAGGGTTCGTAGACTTGCCAAGCCACTGAAAACTCCCTCTCCCAAATGGCTGATGGAGTTTTCTCCCAGGTTTAGGCTCTCTAGGAGACCTAATCCTATGAACGCTGTCTCCTCCAGTCTAGTCAGGTGATTGAAGGACAAATCTCTGCATAAAACAGCCACAAACATTTAAAACATTAGTTCAAACAACATTTGTATTTAACACCAGTCTTGTGTGGTAATACCACTCCACATTCAAGAATGCCCTCCTGAAATTAGACAATTTTTACAAAAATGAGAACATATACTGTGCATCCAACAAAGGCTAGACATGGCAGAATCAGCTCCAGGCACCCACACTGCAGCAAGAGAACAGTAACTTCTCTAAACACAAAACGAATTTCAGAGCTGGGGACTGATCAAAGAAAGTGGGTTCTCTTAGCTACATGGGGATTTTAGCTATGAAGCAAACACACTCACAGTTCCTCCAGCTTTTGGCAAAACTCCCAGGCGTCTGGTCGAATGATGCCAACAGCATTTTGGCTGACCCGCAGGATACGCAGCATGCGCAGGCCATACAACCAACCTTTGTTAACCTCGGTTAGGTTGTTGTGCTCCAGCTCTCTGAGACAAAGACAGGAAAAATAAAATATTAGCAAAAAAAAAAAAACTGTCAATACATAAACAGATTTGCTGCAAGAACGATCCTGGCAAAAACAGCTCACAAAATTCTATGACAGAGGAAAACGCTTGTTTTAGTTTTTTTATAGACATTTTTTTTTCTTTTTTTACATTGTACTGCTCCACAATCACCGAAGGACACACTGCAGAATGTGACTTTGAAGGACAGTCTACAACATTGTACTCACAATTCTTCAATATTGTTTAGTCCAAAAAAGGCTCCATCCATGAGCTTAGTGATGCCATTCCTCTGCATCTTCAGTGACTTCAGTGAGTCCATCCCTTTAAACGTCAGACTGTCCACGATCTTGATCTTGTTGCGCTTCATTTCACTACAAAGACAGTGAGCACCATGTTTCGTCATTGAAGTGCCTTAATACAAAAACTAACTCCCACACTCCCTTCAAATATTAATACAGTAAATTGGGCCAACAACTTAAATGGGAGTTGCTAGAACAAAGTTAGATTCCATTGATTTATCTTCCAACTAAAAATGACTCCAATCTTGACTGATGATTTGAGTTTTGCACCAAAAAACACATCTTCTGACACTTACAGGAACTGAAGCTGAGGAAGTTTGAAGACTTTGGATGGCAGCATCGCTAATCTGTTCCTGTTCAGTCTCAGCACCAGCAGGGAGCTGGAGATGTTTTCAAAGCAGCCAGGCTCGAGGACGCTGATCTTGTTGTTACTCAAATTCCTACGATATAGAAAAGCAGAAACATCAGTGTGAAAATCAGTAAGGAGAATAATATTTGCTTTGTGATTACACCTACTGTGGATGTGACTATATGCAACATCAGTTGGTCTAGAACAATATGGTTTTGTAGTACCTACAAAACCATCTACACAAGGGGCTTTTCCTGTCTGACTCAACAGACATACTTGAAATGTCTTGCACTGTACGATACTAATTTGCTCTAATATTTACTCAGTAATACATACATGACTTGTTATTACACAGAGGCCATTCATTCTTTTTTGTACCCTTAGTTTTGCTATAATTGTGCACTGATTTACTGTTATGCAAGTAAATCAGTTTGCAATTGTAGCTCACTAAGTGTACGTGTCTTTGTAATTACATTACATATGTACTCTGGTGCTTTGTAGTTTTAATTTATTTTTCTAACTTGGAATACAAAGCTGTCGTAGATCTTGTGGATTAGGACATTACCTAATATTTACCGTTCATGATGGAAAAGTTACATGCAGATGATTTAAATCAACAATCATTGCTTACAGGTACTTCAGCTGCATAGATGGGAAGGATCCGACTTTCAGCTCAGAGATGGAGTTGGATGTAAGGTCCAATGTCTCCAGGGAAATGTAGGGCTGCAGCTGATGCATCAATAGCTCGGAGATCCGATTGTGGACTCTAGATTAAAAATAAATTGGATATTAGTTTTCATAATGACAATTTTTACTATGACAAGCTATGGCTGTGGTATACTCAAACATTGTCAACAAGGGTAAAAAACTCATATCTGGCAATGTGCACCATGTTGAGTAACAAAAGATTTATCACTAATATTACCTCACCAATGTTTTAGTATCTTGTAATTACCTACAAGACTTAAAAATGGGGGAAAAAAAACATCTTCCTACATTATAGAAAACATTTGATGTGTCAATTTCATAGAAAACACTTTTTAAAATTAAAAAAAAAAAAACTTTTTGTTTTCTTTGACAGAGCATGTGAGAAAAAAACACATTACACTAAATGATATAAGTAATCATAAACTAATTCCAAGTGATTAGAACTGAGAACGGTTCAGAGACAGAATGTCTGTCTTTATTATAAACAGAGGCATGGCTCGATGTAAAAACAAAAAAATCCAAGACTTATTTTGAGTACTTGTTTAAGTAGGTGAAGGACAGACAAGAAAACCTAAAAAGAAATGTTGTACTTACAGTGACATCGAGGTGATGTTTGAAGAAACATCCCCAAGGAAGGGAAGAACAGTCAGCTCATTGTGATTCATGTTACTGAAATAAAAAATGAACATAACATTACTATCATATGCTACAGAAAAATTACAGCTTAACAGATTTACCTTATTCGCATCAGTCTTAACTTGAATTATACTACTTCTAATTAAACATACAAATTTACCCAGGATCACCATGATCTTTTACTTTCATTCAGTTGCATGTTTATTAGGTACACCTTGCTTAAACTAACACACTCCAATAGAAGAGCCCTGCAACAAATATGACCATTATTAGATTATTTACATTTTTCTTACTACACCGTTGTAGGTAAGGGATTTTAGAGGCTGTGATACTCCAACAAGGTGCACTGAGTAAACGACAGTCAGGTTTATTTTACAGTTCAATAAACTTTACACAATTACTGTTTAGGTAAGGTTGGACATCATCCTTTCTCATGACAGTCTTTATAACAAAAAGTAGCCAGTAGCCTGTAGCCTGGAACCAGCAAACATAACAACTTCATAGAATATCATAGAGAACCTCACAAAGTTGAGGATGGAGTGGGTAAAATGCAGATTAATCGGCTTTTTTGGTATATGATGTTGCTTCCATTAGCTGTGCAACGAATCAGTGCAGGACAATTATTCACATTCACACCTATCAGTTGTGTACTTACACTTGGGTTATCCCATCTGGGGGGTCCAGAGGAGCCACCGACAGCTTTCTTCTATTGCAGTCCAGAATATGAACCTCATCCTGTCCTTTAGAACACGAACAAGGAGCCGGACAAGACTCACTGGCCCTGGCACTCAAACTCAGCAGCATGAAGACAAGAGCCGAAGGAATGGGCCAACCTTCCGCCATTTTAAATGTCTTCCCACTGAGAGGTAGCTACGTGGCTAGCTAACTCGCAAAACTGGCACGTTAACTTAACAGTAAAAAAGCCGTCAAACTGTTCCTGCAAACTGATATTAGTCAAATGAACTCATACTCCAGGTCTATAGCGTCATGACTCCTGGTGGAATCGCAAAATATAGTTTTTTCCAACTTGCGTGAGCCATCCCAGCAGAGATTTCTGCTCTTCTTCCCAGTGCCTGCGATTCCTTCCGCTCCGATCAGGACACCCTCCCGGAGTAGCTAGCTAGCTCTTTGCGGAGTTGATTTGGTCACAAAAATACGCCGCTTGTTACCAGACGGCAGCAGTTGAATTCCGTACGTTGTGGGCTTCTGATTAAACCAAACCAAATGCAGTGCTATATTCGCTTAATCCGGACTGTTTGCGACGAATTTAAATAATTTTTTCTCCGTCCTTCTATCCCGAAGAACAACAAAGCGCCGTGAGTTGATGACATAGGATACCACAGATCCCGCCCCTTTCCAGCATGTTTATAGATATCCTATTGGTCCGAGACTACGTTTGTCAAACATTTGCACCGATTTGATTGGCTCACCCTACAACATGTTTTTGTGGTAGCATGTATCGTATAGAGCAAAAAGTTTCCTCAACTGATGTATTATGACATAATATTTCATTTTATTTCACCGAAATAGTATTTTCTAACTAACAAATTACAGATTTAAAGTAGTTTTTTTCACCGAAACTGTATATAGTTCTGTTTTTGCCAGTATTTGTGCACTGCAATCCTAGACGTGAAACTTGTGAAAAATGTGTGTGATTGTGTGTTACAGTTTGAGGACTCCGAAGCCTCCGAGGATCACTTGGAGAAACTCCTCCACTTCAGAGAGAAGCTACACCACAAGGAGACGGAGGCGCAGGAGAGGCAGAGCCAGCAGTGGAAAACTCTGCAAGCGCAGAAACAATACAAGACCAAAAAGCCCATTCAACCGCAAAGTAAAGAAAACTTCAAGTGTTTCATTTTGTGTCAAACTCAACTTCCTGCTGGTGCAACTTTATTTGCTTTAATTGTGCGCAATGTTTGAATAAAGACTATTTAATTGCATTAAAATTAGGTTTCCTTGCTTTTTAAAATTTTTTTTAACTCACTAAAGTTGTTTTGTTCAGTTACTTTTGAGTTCGAACAAGTTTCATGTCGTTTTGGACAATTTATGATTCAGTTTAGACTAAATTTGAGTCATATTAAACAAATGTCATGTTGGACAAGTCTTTATGCCATTATGGACAGTTATGAAGTCATTTTGGAGAAGTTTTAAGTCATTTTGAACTAGTACTGAGTCATTTTGAACAATTTAGTGTCATTTTGGACACATTGTTGTCATTTGAGACAAGTCTGAGTAGTCATAATTCATCTTATACACAATTTTGAGTCACTTCAACAAATTTCAAGTCATTTTGGACAAGTTAATGCAATTTTAAACAATTTTTGGTTCCTTTTAAACTAAATGTAGTTTGTGTTTCTTGATACCTGAGATCTTTTGTTTGGTGTCTTCTTGGTTTTTTAAATATAGACTATTTCGTTGCATTAAAATGAGATTTTCATGCTTATTTATTCTCTGAAGTTGCTTTGATCAGTCAGTTTTGTGAGTTTGAACAAATTCTAAGTCATTTTGGACAAATTTGATTCATTTTAGACAAATTTTGTGTAATTTTTGACAAATTCATTTTGATACAAGTTTGAGTCACTGTGATTCATCTTAGACACATTTTTGAGTCATTTTAGACAAATTTCAAATAATTTTGCAAAAATCAATGTTGTTTTAGACAAATGCATTTAACAAAAAAAAAAAAAAAAAAAAAGATTTGCTACCTTTTAGACAAATTGTAGTTTCTCCTTTGTTTTTCTTGATACCTGAGATCTTTTGTTTGGTGTTTTTCTCTACAAATATTGGAAATGAACTTGATATATTTCTCAGTCTAAATGAAGAATATTTCATGTCAATAAAAAAAAAAGTTTTAATGCTGCTTTTTAAATGAAATTCACTGAAGCATATACAGTTTGGACAAATGACACTGTGCAATAAGTGTGAGTAGCAAGTGACAACAATAATCCTAAACTGTACTTATACATCAACTTTCATGGCAAAGCTGCAACATGTTTATTATGGGAGAAAGTTGAAAGCATATCAACACAATAATTACAGAAGGTCAGTCTTTAAAAAACACAAAAAATGAAAAAAATAAAAAATATAGGGTAAACTAAATCAATAAAAAATGATTTACAAAAATAACAATAAAACGAGAAAAATAATGAAAGATGTGTAATTTTCTAAATGCTACTATAAACTGATTTCAATATTATGTAGCGAACTGACATCGATCTAACTCTGCCCTACAAAGCCAAAAAACACTGAAAACATACAATATCTAATTTTACAAATATATATATATATGGCTTTCTATTGAAAGTCAGTTTTTCTAACAACATGTAATCATTTTGTCATTTTGTTTCCTTTATTTCTGACTTCATCTTTTGAATGTTATTATTAATTTTTAACATAGCATATTTGCAAAACTCTTCAGAGCATGTGAAAAGCGTTTGATCTTCAGTGTATCGAGTTAGACTTCTTTTATGTAATTGTCGTTTTCACCGTTGTTGCATTGCATTGTGCTTCTTTTAAAAGCAAAACCTCCCCACGTTGATATAACGTGTTTGGAGTGGCCTCGGTTATATAGCAGCTCTGCGGTGATGAACAGGCTGCAGCATCAACCAATCAGCAGTCACGCCCTTCACCAGGAGAATTGATGGCCCGCTGCCAAATAAGCAAATAACAAAGTAAAACATCAACGATGCCCATTCTGTTACAAAATCCTAACCTGTTTCACATTTCAAAAACCACTAACACTTCCTCAATCCTTTCTTCGTCTGTGGCAAAGAGCGACGAACATGTCTGCAGAGCAGTTCCAAGTACCTGCTTCACCCCTGAGCACAAGTGTCGCAGAGGAGTACCAGTCATCTGGACGTAAAGTAACCGCAACGAGGTCGGCACCACGTTGAAAGCGAACCGAAACAGAAAAGAAAAAGCTAAGAACAAACAGATGGAAACAAAGGGGAAACAAAGAGGAAAAAGATATGCCAAGCACAAGACCAAAACAAAAAGCAAAAAAACAGCAAAAAACGACAGGAGATCTCCAGTTTCAAAAAAAATATAAAAAAAAATCTAAAAACGAAGAATGACGGAGGGCGGAAAATGTAAAATGAAAAAACAAAAAACAAAAAAAAAATGAAGAGGCAAAAAGAAAAAACTCAAAACTCCAAGATTGTAAAAAAACAGAAAAATTAGTTATTTGCTGGAGACCAGAGAAAACAAAAAGAAAACAAAAGCAGAGGGCACAGGACAAAGGACAAAAAAAAAAAAAACAGAAAACTGAAGGATGATGGATAAGGTAGAAGATAGAAAAGGGAAAAGACGAAAGGGCGAAGAAGAAGCAGTTATCTGTTCTTGCAAATGAACTCTTCATATGTTCTCGTATATGTTAACGTGAATGTCCTGTTTGGTGCAGAATGAAGAAAACAGTAAAGGGGGCTTCATGTTCAGCTCGCTGTCTTCATGTACTGTCGTTTTGGAGCACACTTCCTTAAGGCCACATGCATACCACTGTTTATCACTGCTGCGCATGCGTGCACCCGTCGACGCAGTTATCACAAGTAACAAGTGAAAGACAGGCTGCAAGGAAGAACGGCGGCTAGCACCGCTGCCCCGCGCAGAGAATGGATGGACAAGTGAAAGACAAAATTACAAAAATATATACAAAGTGCTGCATTGCTACATGTAGCAGCACCAAATGTAATCACTGCAGTGATTACATTTGGTAGTATAGGTCTATCGCTGCTCTGAATGTGAACTTTGGCTGTAGCTGAGCAGGACAGACAGAGGATGAGTAAACACAAGGACAGACGGACCAGGCTGGATGATGTGGAGGGTTGGCCGACGGCTGACCAATCACCGCACAGAGGCTTACCTTCTCAGCAGCCGACCTACCTGCCGCCTTTGTATTCGCTTGTCGCCCTCAAGCCACCACAGCTTAGTAACCGCAGAAGGGCCAGTTTGCGTCTCAATTTACTGATATCGGAGCGTTAGCGCCGCTTCTTTTGTGTCAGCACCAGTCGGAGCGTCTCTCTCTGTCCGGAGGACTGCAGCCATGATTCACTCCCGGACTCTCCGAGTAGATTATGGCAAAACTACACGCGTATTGTGCGTGGTGGGATCGGAACTAAATATCAACCTGAGCAGGTAGGCTCTTGTCTAGGCATCTGTAATTACACACACACTTAAATAACATCTGCATTGTTTGATGCGCATTTTGTTTCAGGGAATTTACGCAACTTGTTTATTCAAAGTCAAGTGTGTATATCCCTTGTCTTATTTATAATTTAGATATTTTGATATGAAGTCCTCACTAAGGGAAACGTTTAAATATGATCTATAGATGAAATAAAAAAAATAATAATTAAAAATAATCCATTCCCCATCTCCCATTCTGAAGTTTTTATCGTTTAGTTGCTTCAACTTTATAGTCAGTTTGGCAGCACATTTACAGTGTTGCATGTTATACTAAGAGGTGCTTCTAATATTTTGTCTGCCTTGTTTATATCACTATCACTAATAGCTGAGTAATAGCTCTTGGATAACAGGTAAGACATCCTCAGGAACTAAAAAAAAAAAATGAAGTCAAGTGACTTGTTGCTGAAGCTCCTAGATCACTATGAGGAGATACTAGAAACAGCAGCTGTTAGTGGGGTGAACAGTTCAATCCCCGATTCCTCCTGTCCACATACCAAATCAACATCTCTCTTCAAAAATTTCAACAAACACTGAACATCAGACCCCTCATGAAAGTAGGGTTTATAAAGGATTCTCGTGTTACACTGTGTTTGTAGTGGTTGTGCCAAATAAACTGACAACTGGAGTGTGAGAATATTCTATTGTAAACTTACAGGATGTGATTTGTGTGCAGATCCTGGTGGTGGCAGAGCTTGCAGTCTTTTTTGTATTGTGGGGCGAGAATCAGTCCTTTGTTACTGTCAACAGGAGAGATTTTGTTTCTCCCAAAAAATAATGTATGCCAAATCCCAGCCTACACAGCACAACAGAGCGAGGCTGCGATACCATATAGTGGAAAACTGGCACACGGCCGGGAGCCTGGGGGGCCCTGAGGGGTACTTAGAATACCCAAAAATAAAAGTTTGATATCATTTGAAAGGCTTGTCATGTAGAGGGAGACTGTTTTCAAATCTGAAAGAAGTACAGTACATATTTGGTTCTTCTGAATCTGTCGTAAAGCAGTATTCACTATGTACATAGAAAGACTTATTGTTGGCTGTGATTCCTTTGTGTGATTGCAATGTAAGTGATGGGGGATAAAATTCAGTCTCTGCTTGTGTGCAGATGCAATGTGAAACTTAGCCTAAGCTAATATGAGTCTTCAGCAATCTAGACAAAACATTTGGACAAATCTACAGTTTTATTATAGAGTTGTGGTCCGCTACAACTCTGGAAAACCCCAACACTTCTACCAGGTTCTTTTAGAACGGCATCTCTTCACAGGAGTAATTACGGGGGCCACAACAAATGCGCAGATGGGCGTTGCCTTGGAAACAAATAAAAGGTTAACATTACTGAAAACCCAGAAATACAGTGGTACTACAATATATCATTATCAGGTATGTTGCACCTCAGGCCAAAATATAGGCATGTCCTCACTTTGGTCTCATATCAGAAAAAAAAACTTGGAATAAATGGGGGAATAGCATTTTTTAAAATTCTTTTTTTTTATTTTTAAATTTAAGGCATTTATTAGGCCAATCAGAAATGGATTAGTTTTCTATTTACTGTTTTCTAAGGAATACCAACTGACTGCATCGTGGCTACAGCTGCTACTTTGGTGTGTCATTTATTTCAAATGATCAGGTTGCGGCTTGACTGTATGCGTCAGTGTCCTTTTTCACTCTTATAATGAGCTCTTAGAAAAAGGACTGTGTGTTTATTGCAGTATGTTTGTGCTGTGAAATACACCTAACATTCATCCAAATGTGCTGCTTGTCTGGTTTTCAGGACCGCCCCCCCGAGCTCCAGGTTCTTCTCTGTGAAGTGTACATCCAATGTTCAGTACAGGATCAGCCCCTCTACTCAGGAGGTCTCCCACTTGTCTCCCATCCCTCTCACTGGCAACTCAGTGCTGCTCATCAGCATGAAACATGCCAGTCAACATGAAAATGATAGTAAGGTAATCAAAGTCTTATTTCCTGAATTTAGTATTTCCAGAGTTACAAAAATGATTCATCAAAGGAGTCATTTATTCAAGTAAAATGCACACTCAGCAGGGTGATTCAGGGTTCTGCGAAGAAATGCTCGTGTCAAAAACATGATGTATTATTTTTCAGTTGAAGTAATGTCATTGTTTTTGCTAAAACTGTATGGCAATTTCCAAGAAACTGTTACTAGAATTATAACCAGCCTTCTCTTCAGCAATTGTGCCTTTAGCTCATTTTAATTGATTTATTGCTGTTTCAATAACCAGAGGAATCAACTTCACATTAAACAAAAATCAAGAACTCTTTCAGCTTTGCAGCGTATCGTCAAGTTTTCATTCATAGCTGTTTAAATGTTAACTTCAAGAGGAATAAAATACTGCTGTTTTTCTGTACATTAATAACTTGTGCCTTAATTTTACAAGCTGTCTGTCCAGTACTATGGGGAGAAGACAGAGGTGTTAGGGAGAGCAGTCCTGCATCTGACAGCTGTTGGTGAGTAAAACTGTCTGAACCCCCCAAACAACATGTATTTTACGACTATTAATGGTTGTCACTATATGTATTATTCTAACATTAATGGTGTGTTTAAATCTTACCGAAATCCATACGTGAACTGTATTCTCACCACAACGGTCTATAGTTTGACAGTTGATTCAAATAACTGGTGATTGTGATGCAGAAATGATAAAACAGTCGATGCATTGTGATCTGAGCTCTATTTGGAACAGTGTGACCACACACAAACCCTTTGTGATGAACAAGATTTCTTTGTCACACAGAGATCTCTTTGGATGTGGATGCTGACAGAGACGGCATTGTGGAGCACAACAACCCTGATAAGGTGATCTCACATGTGCCAGCGTTAGATGACAGAGCAAATTCTGATGCCTAATGAAGTACAGTTTTTCTGCTTTCAGTTTTTTTTATAAACTTTCCAATAAATAATAAAATGCCAAGTGTAGCAATTGGAATACGTGTTTATGCACAGAGCACACTTTGTGCTGCATACTCATTATTTAATGCTGTTTACTGTGTATATAGAACATTTCTTTGTATAAACCTGCACAGGCTGTGGTCAGAGACAAGTTTTGTCTAGTTTTGTTCATGAAACTTTTACTTTCTATAAAGTTCTTACATTAAATTTTCTTTTCTCCATATTTTCTCTATCCGAGGGAAGATATAAATGTGTTATCAAATACACGTTTTTGACTCTGAAGTCTAAACAGAAAAAAAAATCTGTTAGGGATCCTGGAAATGGGGTCCTGACGGGCATGGAGCCATCCTTTTGGTCAACTGTGACTCCGAGAGGACCTACCGGAAGAAACTAGACCACGATCAGGACTACATCTCCAGAGTGTCTGGTAAAACTGCATCAGTGCAGCATCTCGCTTACCAATCAATCCTCTGTTCTTCTCCAACTGTCTCATCTCTGTGACATAAGCTTTTTCACACCTGTTGTCAGCATTAAAAGGCCACTCATACAGTATTTGCTTGTGCAAAGTCAGTGGATGCTCAAGGTGATATGGTCTGATAGTGACTGAGACCTTGCGTGAGTGTAGAGGGCAGGTTGAGAAAATAGGCTTCTCAAATGACTTTGTAGACAGGACAAACCGGTAGACCTGAAATTTGATCAGGTGTTTATTACTGTGTGTGCATGTGTGTAGTGATCACAAACATCAGCACACACTGACAGTAGTATTTAGATTCAGAGTTAGTATAAAACAAGAAGCATGTATGTCATGTGTACACTAGTGGGTATTTAAACTCTGTAGTGTCCCCAACACAACTACATGAACCTGTTTGTGAATGTGCAGATTTGAAGGACATGTCAGTCATGGTGCTGCGGACCAAAGGCCCTGCCAAGCTCCCGGAGGGCTACAAGCTCACCATGCACATCTCTCAAGGAGACGCAGAGAGTGTCCGAGTGTTCAGAGCCAAAACCCCAGGAGTGGTGAATAATAGCATGTGTGAGTACAGACAAAGGCTGAGGATTCCCAAGAACACATGATGTAATGTGCATGTAATTCAGCTGGTTTGTTAAGGCTTTACACTCTTTTATTTTAGTGCGTCATCTTTAAACCTTTAAATTTTAACCTTTAAATCTTTTTGTCTTTTGTTTTTTGTTTTTGTCCTCCCCCCCCAAAAATAAAATAAAATTAAGCATCTAAGTATTTGTATCTTGTTTTTATTGTTTTTCAGCATATACACTCTTCAATGCCTTTGTGAAGGACTTTCCTCTGGTGCTGAGCAGTGAAGTCCTCTCCCAGGAAGTGCCTTACCTTGGAGGCAGAGGAGAACTGAACCTTTATGTGGAGGGCCTCAGGTTCCCTGACAGAGACTTTAATGGGCTCATCAGCATCAACCTCAGTCTTTTAGAGCCCATCAGGGAAGTAAGGCCTGCCGCATGGCACCCACAGTTGTGTTGTTCTTATTATTATCTCCTGACATTAGTTCCTTTTTTGTTATGTTAACAATTAGAAAAGAAGAAGAATATCGTTTTACTAAAAATCTTCTTTTATTTTCTTTTATTTATTTTTTTAGTGCATTTGTTACGATCTGGCCTTTAGGGTCAACTGGATGGAACTAAAAAACAGTTGTTGTTGTTGGAGGTAAAGCAGTTAATTGCTCATTAATGTAAATGAATACAAAAAAAAAGTGATAGTACAAAGACAATGAGTGGACGTTGCCAAAATCAATGAACCAAATATAAACAAATTTAAATACAATAACAACACCCACACCAAACAAAAGAAACTAAATAAGCTAGTGCCTCAAAACACACATTACAAAAAAACCCCACAAGACACGAGTAACTTCTCAACTGAGTTGGACAGCTGCTAACTGAAGCCACAGTCTTCACCAAGACACGAGCAGCTTCCACACAAAGTCAGCAGCTGCCAATAGAAGTTACAGTTGAACACAGAAAGCACTATAACACAAGAGGCAGCAGGGCAAGCTGTTCACGCTAAATCCCTGACTGAGAGTTTGGTTGAGGTTTTACAACCAGGTGTGGTGATTTCTGGGGTCTTGGAGGAGGGACCTGGGTGGTGGACCAATCAAGTGTGATGGGAGGCAGGGAGAACAAGGGCTGAGAGCAGGTCTTGGAACTCCAGGGCATCCCCGATGTCTGCCAGGTGGGATCTGGAGCACGGTCTGCAGCATGTTGTCATCAGTTCACAAGCTATCTCCCCATACAGAGGCTGCACAACATCCACCACAGGAGCAAGACGGCCCAAACACCAGGGGCCGTAACAGCGTGAACACAACTTTTAGTCTTTCTTTCTTTCTTTTTTTTTTGGGGGGGGGGGCTTTTTGCCTTTATTCAATAGGACAGTTGAAAGAGAGAGACAGGAAAGTGGGGGGGAGAATGGGAAAAGGGGTTGCAGCAAAGGGCCACGAGAGGGATTCAAACTCATGACCGCTGCATCAGAGACTATAGCCCCTGTACATGGGTCACCAGCTCAACCAGGTGAGCTAAAGTGGCGGCCCTCAGTCTTTCTTTATTAGTCCGGTTAAAAACTCCAAACAAAGCCAGTAGATCGACTTTTACTTCAGTTTTTCACACTACAGTTTCCAAAGTTCAGAATGAACCTCAACAACAACAACATGACTGAACATAATACATTCTGTAAATGTGATTATTGTGAATTCTTTACTAGAAGCAAACATTAGCTCAGTTTTAGATACACACTTTATTTGAGTCAAAATACTTGTGAATTCAATTTTATGCGGTCACACCACATTACAAACAGACTTGGAAAGGAGTACAGCTGGCAGCACTCACTGGCCTCTCTCATGTTTCGACAGGTTCTCCCCGAGACGCCTATTTTCACAGACAAAGTGATGTTCAGAGTGGCGCCGTGGATCATGACACCCAACACCCTCCAGCCTCTTGAGGTGTTTGTCTGCAGGTAAGAGCCGACTGATGAATAATAAAGACGATGGTGGCAATAGATGTGTTTACTGGATGTTACACTCTTGCGCACGCATTCCCCTAATTTAAACCATACCACCAAGAACACTACTCATGTGAATGACTTTTTAGTTGTGTCACTGCTGTTGACTATTGATAATGTGCACTTGCCTGCTGTAAGTTTTCCTTTTATATCCTTGAGTGTTGTATCTTTCATACCCATATGCAACAAAGTTGACCATGTAAAGGACTTTCCATTTATCTGTAACAATACTGTTATAGCAAACATTCATCTGTTAGTTTTTTCTACAGAATTTGGATAATGTTGATGTTCTGTACAGTTTTAAAATGCTTGACTGAAACTGCTTATCTGTCTGTGATTGCTTTCTCAGTACATCTGATAACTACCCTTTCCTGAAAGGAATGAGGAACCTTGTTGCGACAAGTGGGTACAAACTGAACATTTGCCATGAAAATATGAACAGAGGAGACCGCTGGATGCAGGTAAGAAAACTGAAAACTAAAGCACCTTTCAGACACGCACTCAATATATGACTGAATCTGAACAAGTCAACTTTTCCATAGAAGCTGTGATGGTAATCTTACCATGTGGGACATAGTGACATTTCTGTATCATTTTTAACATGGCACAAGTCTGAACTGTGTGCCACTGAATTAGTAGATGATCTCACACATGCAATGGTGTTTAGAGTTGTGTGAAGCAATTTAGGTTTTTTTTTTTTTTTTTTACACATTCCAGCACCAGTGTTTGTCCAAAAACATCACAAAGTGTACAAAAGACACAGTTTGCCATTCACCTTACCCAACAATGTCAGATCTATGATGCTATAAACTGAAATGTCCATGAATGTGACTGTAACAGGTCATATCTGTGCCCATTGTGGGAAGTGAAAGCTGTGTCCTTCAGCTGAACTGCTTTTGAATTCATTTTAACAGGTTTTTAAACAAAATTGTAAAACATGAGAGACTTTAGAGAGTGTGAAGGTTGTGCTTAGGAAATTCAGTGCACAACTAGGCAAGTCATGGGAGGTTTTTTCAAACTGCAACTACAGTAACAGAGATTTCATAATCTGACAGTGTGAAACCAAACAGGAATAGTGCATATGAGACAATTTAACAGGAAAACATGATGCAACAAGAGCAGCTACGGGAAAAATAGTGTGCCTCTAGATCTAAATCTAACAGGTTGTACCGAAACACTGGAGAAATATAATACCCTGTCCATTTTCAGGATGAACTGGAATTTGGTTATATCGATTCACCTCATCAACGGTTTCCTGTTGTTCTGGATTCTCCAAGAGATGGAGCTCTCCAGGATTTTCCATACGAGGAGCTGCTGGTAATATACAGACGTAGAGTTCTTTTGACATCAATGTTGAGAGATACAAAATGCTTTTGGCGAGGGACAATCTCTTTGTTTGATTTTTGAACCAGATTTTTTTTAAAGCTAGAGAAACGTAGTAGATATAATTAAATATATGAAGAGTTCATTTGCAAAAACAGATAACTCCATCTTCACAAACCTTCAGAAAACCCTCTTTTCCATCCTCTACCTGAGACAATGTCAATTCATCTTAAGTTATCTCTATTTTTGTCATGTCATTTTTACTGAGTCAGATCCACTTAACTTCAGTTTGATTGATATTATCTATTATCTATTATCTTTTTTTTTTTTTCCAGCATCACAGCAAGCAGAATGATGATCTGGCTGCTGTGTTGTGCTGAACAGATTTACTTTGCCAAGGGGTGCTTCATGAACATAATGCCCCTCTTGATAGTCTGATTTTTATTTATTTATTTATGTAATCATTCTATTTTCTTTAAATTATTTTGAATGCTTGATTATAACTGAATTGAATGTAGTATTGCTGGACCTGAAAGAAGGAAAAAGAAAAGTGTAGTTTAAAGAAGTGAGAGAGAGAGAGAGAGAGAGAGTGAAAGGAAAGTAGAAGAAAACAAATACACCACAATCTACCAACTGCTACACCTGTACAAACACTCAGCAGAAATGATCTGATGACTTTTAGCAGGAAAACAGAGCTGATAATCATCAAGAGCACCTGTAAGAGATGAGGAAGCTGAGAAAACCTGAATCTCAACAATTACCAGAGTATAAGATTTATATATGCACACAAAAATGAGAGAGGGAAAAGAAACACAAAAGAAAAAACAGAAACAAACTACAAATGTCAGGAGAAATAAATGAAGAAATAACAGAGCAAACAAAAGTCAGTATTAGTCAATGTAGTGCCACTTTACAGAATATGTGGGGTGAGGAGTGTTCAGACATGAGTCTAACCATACATGCACAACTGAGCCCCTGCGAAGGACACATGCAGACCAGAAGAGCCCCAAGACCTGGGCCATCAGTAGCAATCCCGGAGTACGAATCTCAGCCACCACACCACTGAGGCGAACACACATCCCCCCAGATGGCGGCAAAGAGAGGCCCCAGCCAGAGCTTGCCACGGCCACGGGGCAGAGGCCCCAGTGGCCCGAGGCCACATGAGCCCGAGAGCCACCCCCACCCCCACACTCCAGGCAGAAGGCCTACCAAGAGCCCGGGAGGACCAGGCCACCCCAGGCAGCCACCCGGCATGGGCCAGCAC